AATCACCTCGGTCAGCACCTGAATCACCTCGGTCAGCACCTGAATCACCTCGGTCAGCACCTGAATCACCTCATTCAGCACCTGAATCACCTCCCTCAGCAACTGAATCCCGGCTCATCGACCTCCAACCAACCACTGATTAACCCTGTGTTTTCTTGTTGTGTTGTTAATTTCTTTAATGTTCTTTAACGCTCTGCCGCAATATTTAATACTGCTGTCCAGGGGCGTAGTTAGAAATGGATGGATAGGGGGGCTGAGTCTTTATTGGGAGGGGTGTTGCAAAAAATATAATATAAAAAAGCTACTCATGTCTTAAGGCAACAAATACACATTTATGGGGGGGCTAAAAACATTTTATGGCAGCTAAAGCCCCCTAAAATAGGCATAATGATGCCCCTGCTACTGTACATATAATGTATTTTGACACCACACTGCACTGTTACTCTCTTTTTGTTATTTTTCCCTATATGCTGCCACTCTCTTTGGGTTTTGTGACCCCAGGAAAAGCCTCTTGTTCCTTTGTCCTCTTGTATGGAATGAAATGAAAAGAAAATTGAATTGAATAGAACTGAACTGAACAAAGCTAAACTGAACAGAACTGAATTGAATGGAACTAAACTAAACTGAATAGAAGCTAAATTGAATTGAAATGAAATTAACTGAATTGAGCTGAAATAAATTAAATTAAACAGAAATGAAGGAGGAGCCTGCTGCAGCAGTTCTGTGCTGGACACGGGACTCACCTGGTCTAGACACTGGCTCCTTAGGTAATGCAGGGCTTGCTGCAGGCTAACAGGCAATGGCTGCCCAGACCGCTGCACATGGATGATCAGCGGGACCCCAAAGACAATTTTGTCCTTGTAGTCCGGCACCTTCATCCTCTTCATGAACTTGGGCACCGACCTAAGGGTGACGGAGGTCTTTAGAGAATTATATCACAGTGAGCACTAGGGCCCTGTCACGCTCATTCTTCCTCTTGTGTTCTCTCGCAGACGGTGTCACGTTTAAAAGACTGTGTTTAACTACGTGAAAGTGTGTGTTTATGGAACTCAGACAGCAGCCCTTCCATCCAGGGCCGGCGCTCCTCCCCACCCTGCCTGACCCCAGGCCTCCAGATAGCCCCCTAGGTGTCCAGACAGTCTGTTTTTATGAGCCTTAATGAAAAAAGGTAAAATGGAAAACGAGGCCTGTAGGCCGTCTTTATGTGGCGTTGGGGGGCCTGACAATCTCCCTAATACACATACTCAGGCAGTGAGGCACTGACTCACAGCCACTTCCCCAAGTGTTTACAGACGCATGCCAAACAACAGGCAAAATAAAAATAACAGAAACAGGCATACCCGGGGACAATGGTCCGTGTTATGATATTTTTTTCACGACGGGCAAATTATTGAAGATATTCAACACTTTATTATAAAACAGGCTTTGTGTTCATGATTTTGCCCAGCTGTCGGGTATTGTAAGTGTTCTAAACATGTTTAAGGTAGGTTAGGCTAGGCTATGGTGTTTGTTAGGTTAGGTGCACTGTATTAAAATGCATTTTCACTTTATGATATTTTCGCCATACGATAGGCTTGTTGGAACGTAACCCCATCGTAACCTGTGGAGCGTATGTATATAGTGTGTATATGCACGCACACACACAGGCAGGAGGATCCACACACCCACAGACACACACACACACACACACACACACACACAAGCTCCCTGTCTGTCGAGTCAGAAGGTGGAAGCTAAGCTGTGTGAGGCACTCCCAACAATCTCCACAAGAGGGCACCAGGTACAGAATGTTCTGCTGGATGATGTCAGCACAACTGCAAACGTTCATCAGTGAATGCACGGGGGTGAGATGTGAATCAGAAGCTAGATGAGGTCAAAACCCCACACAGAGGGAAACCTTGAAATCCTTCTATGTTCCTGTATGGATAATTAACCCATTTGTCTCTCTCCTATTCTCCTGTTAATTCCAGCCCGAACTCTGCCCTGCCACAACTTCCAAATATTTAGCAGACGGCTCAGCCAATCCCTAGAGCAACTGGGGGTTAAGGACCTTGCTCAAAAGCCCAACAGTAAAACCACTCTGCCAACTATGGGATTTAAACCTGCAACCTTCTGATCACAGGCACAGCGTCTTAACACACCGAGCTACACATCACTTCACGTCAATCACACTAGTCTGACTCACCAGGTCCATCCATGTTTGTTGGACATGGAGTATTTCTCCATGATGGCAGTGAGGCGCAGGAGTGAGAACTTCTGCAGCAAGCAGAGCTGGCCTACTGATTGGCTGTTGATCTGCAATGAGGCACCGGATTGGTCGAGGTGGCAGGAGATCCTGAAGCTGGGCCACCGCAGGCTGCGGACATGGAAGGGGGTTGAACTTCGATGTGTGCATGTGGGCGTCAAACAGGAAATGACAACACTGACAAGTGACATGTCAACATGTCAGTTAGGCAAGCGGATCCATGACTGACCACCACTCACCGGCTAGGTCTGGTGAGCGAGGCCCCGACGCCAGAATCCCTCCTCTCCCTCGTCCCACTGGAGTCCGTGTCATTAAGTGAAATGGCGTCTCTGTCCAGGTCACTGGGTGTGGTCCGGCCCTCCAACGCCGAGCTCCCCTCGCCGTCCAGTGTGACCTGGCTAGCAGAGTTGCGCCGGGCCTCACCATCAGGCAGGACGCTCCGGGACCAGTTGTTGACCAGCCTCTGCAGGCCGTTGACATGCTGCAGGATGTCGTCCAGCTGTGGGAACAAGTCCTCCTTCTCCAGGTCCATCAGGTCCCCGGTACTGGCATATAGGTGGGAACTGGGGACGTTGTCGTAGACACTGGCGCGGCTGCCCCGTGGACAGAGCCGGGAGATAGGAGCCAGGTCCCGGTGCTGCCGGACATCGGGCCGCCAGCCGGAGCTCATGGCGGTGCCAGGGGTGGGCGTCAGGCTCTCTACGGAAAGTGCCTTGGGGAAGGTCCCCGGCTTGTGGTCCTTGGGGACGTGCACCACCAGGTCCTCATAGGAGCGGCACTCGCTCCGGCGACCTTGCTCGGCAGTTTTCCTCACGGGGGCGCCAGCGAGCACATCCAGGTCTTCCAGGTAGACGCCACTGCGTTTGTGGAGGGCCCGCTGTGGTTTCAGGCTGGGTGTGCTGCTGGTGCTGCTGCTGGACTGGGAGTGCAGGCCGCTGCTCCCGTTTACCTCCGGCGCAGCCACGTCCCCGTTGGCAATCTCTACGCACTGCAGTGCACGGAGGCTTTCAGGCTCGTACTGAAGGACAGGCCCGCTGATGGTCAGGGTCTTGCGGGCAGCCTTCCCTGACGAGGACCGCCGGGAACGCAACGTCTCCATGCGGCGCAGGAAGTCTTTGGCGCGTGTCCGGCCATGCCGGCTGCTTTTGGAGGGCAGAGAGTTGTACCGTAGCCGGTCGTCAGACATTGGGGACGGTGCCAAAGAGCTGGGGTCGGGCATGATGGAGGCCGAGGCGGAGCGAGCAGGCCTCAGGGTGGCCAGATCTCCACTCCTGCTGCCGCCGCTGCTCCCACTGTGCAGTGACGACACCTCGGGCTCGCTCAGGTCTGTTAGCACGCTCTCCCGACTGCCTGCCCCCTGTAGCTCCGCCTCCAGGCCTCTGGGACACGCCCCCTCCTCGCCTTCCAGGATGCAGTCGATGTCCTGCAGCCTCGACCACCGCCGACTGCTCCACTCAAACGTCCATCGGTTGCTGATCGCCAACTGATCCTCTTCATCTGAGTCTTCGCTCTGTAGGTTTTTTCCAAGGAAAGTGAAAGAAATGTGGTCAGATGTAAGTTGAGTTGATGGTCATCTGATCCTACATACCTCAGTCACATAATTAGCAGCAACAGTATATTTTCCAACCGCTGAGTCAACAACAGAAACAAATAACGAGCTTAAGAGTGCAAAGTCAAACTCAAACTAGGCTAAGGGTCAGTACAGTTTCTCCAGCGGCTCCTACTGCACAGTCAACATCTACTGCAACCCCATGGGTCTGGCGGTCAAGGTCGTGCAGGGCTATGAAATACTGATGGGAAACGTTACCATGGTAACTGCTGTGAGTGGCAGCACAGTGGTCAAAATGCTTCCCTCAAACGGCCAGTGGTTATGGGAGTACACTTTTCACAGAGGACTTCCATTAAGCACTGTGAACCGACTATGACCCACAGAGAGGCGACATAATGAAAAATAAGCAACAAATCATATCCCAGCTCTGGCTGTACTTAGACAAGAAAACCAGAGTCAAGCCCTGTCTGTTTTTGTATAATAAGGTATGTGGTTGTGGGTAATTTCAGACTGATCGTTCTGCTAATTGGGGTTTTAAAACTATGTGCTGCATTACAGCAGAAATGAAGGAACAGGGCATCCTTACATAAAAGATCACATCCTTTGTAATCAGTGTTTCAGGTCCCGAAAGATTTTGTCTCTACCAACCAGTTGAGTACTCTGTGACTGTGACTCTTTTATGACTCTTCAAATGGCTGGTAGAAACAAAATATTGGTCTGGATTTGTAGTTATTGGGTCTGAAATGCCCAACACTGATTGTAATACACCCACCCAAGCATTGTAATAAATCCAACCAAACCAACATTCTGCAGCCAAAAAAAACAGAGGCAATGATCACAAAATCAACTTAGACATAACAATGGAAAAATTCTTAAGTGTCCTCCAAACTGGTTTAACAGGATAAAAGGCCCAGGGGCCAAGATGTCGCCCTCCCCTCGTCCCCCCCCCACCACATCAGAAATGAAACATGGCCAAAGCACTTGTTTTAAGAACCTTCAGAAGCCCGACAGCACGTTAATGTTCCAGAACTTCCCAGGAGGCCAGACATCAGTATTCCTCTCTAAGCCCGGCCATCACAGCTGCGGCGGAAACCTGACACTCAAATTAACCTCATGAAGAGCAAGCCTTTCTGGAGAAAGAACCAACTTCAGATTGCAGAGATAGCAAAGAGGTGGAAGGACATCTGTAGGCCTAACTGGGTAACGGGCTGGGCTGCCCACTCTACCCACAACAAATCTCTCAGCAAGAACAACCACTATATTTACTTTCCAAACTGGAGAAGAACACATGTTGTTAAAATCACAGCATGACCTCTTCAACAGGACCATAAATCATTATGCAGTAGAGTCAGGTAGATCTGCACTTACTTTCTTCTTGGGAAGGCTGACGTCCAGTTTCATAGAGGCGCACTTGTTCAAGGTGTTAAGTCGTCTGGAAGAGAGACAGTGAGCATGTTCAGCCTGGTAGACGATCGAGCCCATTCCTGTCCACTTCGCTCGGTTCCTTGCATAGTCCTCCTGCTTTCTGAAAAGCCCCCTAGAGCAAGCCAGGCCCTCGTAATGCAGGCTCTCTGTGTTCTGCTGCGCCTAAACCCGACAGGGGCGGCTAAGTGGTCTGCCGCCCTGGGCTGCGTGCCATCCGATTGGCTGCCGGCAGCTTGGCGGCTGGGGTTCAGTGACACTGTTTATCCTGGGGCCCAAGGACGACAGGGGAGGCAAGGTTCCGCCCCCTCTGTGATGTCAACACCGGAGAATTCTACTCCAACATTCTGCTCAGGCTGCCTTACACGACGGGAGTGAAGTCTGGCCCCTCCCCCTCCCCCTCCCCCAAACCATCACACTCACATCACAGTGACATCACAAGTCGTTTAAACTCATCAAAAAACGCCCATGATTCGAGGGGCACAAATCCCAGGTGGCATCTCTCTGGAACAGCTGCTTTTCCTTAAAACACGCCCCCTGGCAAACCTCCCCAGTGAACTCAGTCAACTCCAGCCAATCCCCCACCCCAAAATCTCCTACAACACCAACAGCAATTTCCTGTTGTTATTATTCCTTGTAACATGTAAGGAAAAAAAAAACACATCATCCCACGCTAATTGAATACAAGAACAGTGACTGACTGAATCTGGCTAAAGTACTGCGTTTGCTGGTCGGACTGTGTCCTTTTACCATTGCAAATTTCATTCAACTGCCGAAAGGATGTTCAAACTGAAAATGTGGGGTGGGACACAGAGGGGAATAACTGCACAGGGCAGCCCTGATGCAGAGGGGCAGGGGCTCTGTATAGATGGGGGGGGGGGGCTCCTGCCTACAGGCTCGACATCTGTTAAACTCCTGCCACGGCTTCCCTGGGGCCACATGGTCCTTTGAATCCCAGATCAGAGCGTCAGGCAGAGGGAGCAGGTTGAGATCAAAGAGAAAGATGCCATGAGGTGCTGGGGGTCACGAATCTGGCTTGGGCAAGGGCACTGATTATGCCAGTAAGTGGACGAGGTAGGGACTCTCATCTCACACCTCGGGGGCAGCATGAAGAGAGGAGTCACACCGATAAGCTGGAAGTGCAGAGCCTTCCCGGCCCCCTGCCCAGTCTGCTATGTGCGGAACTCGGGGAATGGCTAACGCAAAGGTAAAGTGCGCCCCCTTGTGGACCGTTTCCTCAAAAACCTTGGCCACTTCACCCTGTTTTCACATTGGGAATACTGATTTGGATTCTTGCCACAGAAATTTAAGCTCCAGATAAATGCCTTTAAATGTTTTATTTCTCTAACACCGCAGTACTCTGTCGGCAGATACAGACGTAATAATGGGCAGAGAGAAATTAGTCATACAGTAAAAGGGAAAATACACATTCCTGTAACATAAAAAGATCAAATTTCTCACAGGAAAACAAATCATCTAATAGCCAATTTCCATCCTCTGGTTACCTTGGATTTCAGTGATAAGCGTCATATCCTGAAAAATGTCACTGATTAGCGTCATATTTGTTTTAATATACGCAATTACAATTACAATTACAATTACAGCCCCCACTCCACTCTCCCTTCCCCCCCTCACGACCCTGACCAGCATAAGCAGTTAGAGGCTGGACAAATGGAATTAATAGAACAGTCCACAGTCATTCGGACATTTATTCACTTTGAATTCTGATATCTTTTTCGAGAATACTTTCAGCTAATTCTGCAGTAATGGTTTCTAATGAAATCCACAGCTGTAAAATTCTAGTTGGGTCGTGGGAACGGGTTCGAATGACAGCCGGCACATACATGGCACTTGAAGGAATGTGGGGGGACATCCACAAATCCGGCACCCCCTCCCACACCTCCCACCTCTGTCTCTTAGCCCAAAACGGACGCAACCGACGCTGACGCACATGAGCTCGTAACCCTTGTTTTGCTCACATCCTTACCGGCAGAGAGGCTCTACCAGGTCCTTGTCCAGGAAATCATGATCTCTTTTAACGGAGGAGATGTCGATGGGGAGCTGGGAATCTGAAAGGAGAAGACAGAGACACTCTTCAGGGTGCTGTGCTTTTACATGCATATCTGCTGAGGGACTCCTGTCGTCAGAAAGTCCGTCTGCGAGTCAAGAAGGACGAGCAGCGGGCGCCGTTTCCGAAAGGCTCCAGCCGAGAAGCAGACAAGCCAGGGTGTGAATGACGTCGGTTCTGAGTGAACGGACACCAGGCCCACGGGTCTGATTCGTGCCCTGGCCAACCGAGAAACCGTCTAAGTTGGAACTGAATCGTGGAAGCTGCGGACGAAACATCCGGGCAACACCCAACACAAATAAATATCGTAAAGGCAGCTAAAAGTAACGACCTGGGCTATCCTGTGGTTTTTCATTGGAGCCCTTTAATCCCTCGTGGCCATTCCGGGAAGAGGCGAGATTAGTGGATCTGTTTTGGATGCAAGGCACAGCAGGGAGCCAGCAGCCTTGCTCCGGCAGCGCGTGTGTATGGACAGGCCACGCCCCTCAGCCGCCACCTTTTGCTTACGTGACAGTTGGTGGGAGGGCAGGTCCACAACTGCCGCCACTGGCATTCCATTGCCTTTATAAGGCACCGCTAATGCCATCCTGCAACAGGCCCCCGTGGAGGTCTGTGGGTACGCTCGCTGTGCGGGTCTAGCCTTTCCCAGCATGCCTGAGTCTGGGACCACTGGGCCTCACAGCCTCTAACCCATTTCTAGTCATTTTTAGACGGCTGTCGTTCTGGTCATTGTGGTTCCGGATCTTTTCCAAATACGTCTCGGCTTAGCTAAACACCGTAAATGCCAGTTCAGTCCTTCGCGGGACCTCTTAAAAGCTCAACTCCCCGGAAATTTTAATTTTGCATGGAAATATATGTTCACGTATACAGACAGACATGTAAATGAATGTGAGCATGGGTGAAAACTACTGGCCACCGACCTTGCATTTTTACCCATAATTCCTGGCGGAGAGACTTATAAACCCATGACCCACTGACCAGCCTGGGCATAGGAGGTCAGCGTGGTCTACAAGGAGGGCCTGCGGTCAACAAAGGCCTTTTCCCATGCTCCCCCCCCCCCCATTGAGTAGTAACTCAAGCCTGGAAATAGCTCTCGACACCCCCTTCCCCAGGCAAGCTGGAAGCAGGCCCAGCTTGCAGTCAGCCTGTACGCAGCTGTGTAAATGCAGTGTACTCTGCAGCAAAGTGGGTCATTCCATTCCAGAAAAGGCAGGGGGGGGGTGGTCATGCCTGTTTTCTTCCAAAAATGATAACTGTGATGAAAGGCCGGCCTCGATCTGTCATTACTTTTTTTCCTCAGTATTACTACATCAGCTTTTGCGCTACTTGCTTATTGCTGGTTCAGTGCTCAACACTTTTTTTTTTTCTTTTCCAGTGCTCAACACTTGAAGGTGGAGATCTTTTCTCTGTCTATAACAGCTGTAAAATGATCTGTTCTGCATAGTAAACTGGGCCAATTTTTAGGGTCTCCATTTTTCTGGATGGACAACTGCTGTATACTCAGGAATTGGGGGCACTAGGCCTGTTACATAGTGTTTGTGGCATGGGGGAGGACAAGGAATCATAATATTCAAAATACAAAAAGCAGCAGAAAAAGTCAGCCTGTCTTTATTAAATTATTTGGGGAATTGGTAAGATTTAATAGAATGGTTGGCTTTAGCTACACCTTTTCTTTGCATTATATTGCTTACAGTACAGGGAGGAACATGCCCTAGACCCCTATTATTCAAATCACGGTCCTCGAGGTCCGAGCACTGCTGGTTTTCCAGCCTTCCTTTACCTGTGAGCCAGGTGTGAAGCCTCTGACCAATCAGAATCAGTAATTATTAAACTAACTACCTGGGAGAACTGAAAACAAGGCCTGGATTTGGAATCGAGGTCCAGATTTGAAGAGCCCTGCCCTAGACCTTCAGAAAGACCCTGCTCACCAACACCCCCTGCTGCACAGGACCGGACAGCGATGAGGTGATGCAGATCAGCCGCTCGCAGTGCTTACCTTCGTACAGATGGGCGTACTGGGGAAATCCCGCCGCTCGCAGCCAGTCACATGCCTCCTTCGCCTCAATTTCTAAAAAAAAACAAAAAGTGGCGAGTGAGTTTAGCTATTAAGCAGCATGTCATTAAACATGCCGATGACATCATACGACATCAGAGACCACATGTCACACCCCAGCACCTGCCAGTCAGGCTATGAGAGGGATGCCCACAAATGCCGGGTTAAATTCAAAAACATACGATCGAGAACAGAGGTAGGTCAAAGACCACATGAACATTCTGCTTTTCACAGTCCCTGTCCACCTTTCTTTAGCTGGCTTCTGCTTCCTGCCATTAGACTTGGTTGAGTTGTCATTAGATTAACCTTTGTTGTCCTTGTTGACTCATCGTTGGCTTGTGCGTAGGCGCTGTATAGACGTCTGCTCTGTGCTTTGTCAGTTCTTGCCTGAGAGGCCTCATCTGCTCACCATCCCCATCGCTGTATGAGAGGACAGCAGCAGGATACCCCTTGTGCTCGGCACCCCCTACAGGAGGAAATGCTCAACCCTAAACGAGAGAGCCTCATCTGCAGACTTGACTATACACAAAAAAGCAGCCAGACAAGAACACAATAAGCAAGTGAAATATCTGATGAGTTGAATCAGGCAGATTCAAAAATGGCAAAGAGTCAAGTTCTGTACGGGTTCACTGCACAGGCGAATGAGACGAGCGAACTTTCATGCCAAAGCAGTCGCAGTCTTGGGTAATGACGGTAGTTACAGAAAGAATTTTAGAAGAAGTTTTGGTTGACCCTCCCATCCAGAGCAATTTACACACCGATACGCAGCGCATTAAGTGTGAAGCAAGTCCTAACGATGGAGCTTAGCTAGACTGCAGGATCGTAGTCATATTACACCATACAGGACATTCATTAAGGTGCCGACATCTGATATGTGCACGTGCAGTAAGCTGTACCAGATGCCACAGTATGTGTCAGCAGTGGATTAACGTAACAAAGAAAGAGAAAAATAGAAAAGAACACACAGGGGAGACCGCAGCCTCCATGAGAGGGTCTAGTACGACTGCTGATGGACAATAAGGGCGGGATGGAAGGTCCATATCACCCCCTTCCAAAAACCCACACAACTACTGGATGATTTTATCCAATTTACAGTAAAGGGATTTGAACCCATGACCAGTGCATTAAGTCAGAGGAGATTTAGACAAGGAATGACCCAGGAGGGGAAGCCAAACCACCACAGGGTACACATACCATTCATGCCCAAGGCCTCTTTGGCAACTCCAATTCACCTCAGCATGTTTCTGGACACTGGAGAGAAACCCCACCAAGACATGGGGTGGACATGGAAACTCCAAAGACGTGGAGCCATGCTGGAGACTCAAGCCCTAGTCCCAGAGGTACAAAGGCACCAGTGCCCACCACTGCACTACCATAGCGCCCCCCCCAAGCTGGAAGGTGACCCCGCCCACCCCCAATGGCAGGATGACTGGTGGAGCTGAGTCACGCTGCCGCTCACAGCTGGTTCCTGTCACGTTAGGGGCTTCCTCGCTTTCCCAAGGATGAACGTCTGACCGCATCGTTAAGCGAGTGTTTTGTTGTCTCTCTAAGTCAGCCTCTGACGCGGGTTTCACAGAATGAATACAAAAGGTCAATGGGTAGGAGGCCGAGGGAAGCCCGGCACTTTCCACCGCTAGCGTAACATCAGTCAGCTGGCTGAAGATCAGCCAAGGAGATCTTGGCGATAAAAGGCCAACAAACCTCTGCGTGTCCTGCACTTTCATGGGCTTTTAATTGACTCGTCTGCCACACAAGCCCAAAAAAATCCCACGCGTCTAAGCTTTCGGCAGAGTGCTGTCATACTTTCCAGGGGAGGGGCTATTGGGCCCCCATTACCTGTCAAGACAGCTGAGGGCTCTGAACTCAACGCACCATGTGGCAGCCATTACAGCGAAATATGCAGCCTTGATAAGAGCGAGCGCTGGGGGGGAGGCACAGAAACCAGTAAAAACGCTGCCGTGTCCAATTGGGAAATCTCATCAGGCCACTAGTGCTACATATGGACACCCTGTTCCCAGAAAATCGCTGGGCAGTATGTGGATTACAACGCTCTGGGGAACAACACCGGCCCTTGTGCAGCAGGTGCTGAAATTCCCAAACTTTAGCTGCAGATACACCAAGGAGGGCATGTAGCACTGCGGTTATTCAGCCTTAATGCCAGTGACTTCCCAGGCTGGAAAAAGGATGGATTTCCAAGTCACTTTTGCTATTTAAACTCATTATTCTAAACACTATCTCTTGAAGGTCACAGTTTATTCAGCGTAGTTGTAATTGCAAGCTTTACAAGGATAGCAATTCCTATCATACTGCATCTCCAAGGTTACAATGCCAGTCAGGAGATGATGGACGGCCTAACTGCTTCCCACTCCCCTACCTGACTGATGACTTAGGTCAATGTTTCTCAACCCAATCCTTGGAGACCCCCCGGTCCCCACCTGGTATTCTGTACTCCTGATTGTTTGCATCAGCTGTGCTGGGAGCTGGGAGGGAGCAAAAATGTGGATTGTCTGCGGTTCCCCGACAAGTGAGTTGAGCAACACTAACACAGATGAACACATTAGGAAGAATGAAACTGACCACCAATATCAGCAACATTCCAGTGCTAATTATGAATTAAATTACAGATCATTGCAGCTGGACTGGGGACAGTTCTGTGGCTCCCAGTACATTAGCAGCAGAGCTAGGGGTCACCGCACCATCTCTACCCAACACAAGTCTCCACTGTCTTTCCCACAATGCTAATAGTTTTCTTCATGTTCCTCATTCATTTGACACATCCACAATGGGGTAGAACAGACTGGAAGGGTATATAAGATGAACCCTCTCCTTTTTACCAGTGCAGACTTTAACTAACACTCCACCTGGTGGCTGGAGGCTGGAACATAATACTTCGCATTCAATATTGGTGGTGAGAAGCTCCTATCCTGAACTTGTAAGAATCTCGATGATTCAAAATTGTCATTATTATAATTATACACATTAGACAGAATAAATAAATGCGGAGTTGAATGTCAATTGTAGATAATGAGATAGAAGGTGCTGGAATGTAGGCTTTGCAAAGCGCCCCGCAGGAATCTTTTGGAATGGTAATGAAGGTGCCACATGGTTTCTGAGTATTGTGAAAAAGCTGTGAGCTGTTTCGGCCATCTTTAGAGGCTCGTGCACAACCCTGTCAGGCCCTCTGCCCTCTGCGGGCCTCTCCGCCGCACCTCAAAGCCAAAGAGAGAGATTGGGGGTTTGAGGTTATGGTCTTGTCAACTCGAAGCGTAAATCCTGAACGCGGGCAACCCAGCAGAGGCCTCCGTCACCACTCTGCCCTCCACAGAGCCTGAGATTCCTGTCAAATGGAAGACAGGGGTGCCTGGGGTAATGACCCCCCTACCCCCAACCCTCATCCCCACCATCCCCAAGAAAAGGATATGTCCAGCACCCTCTGACACTCCATGGACAGCCACAGCCCAGGTGAAGGGTGAGAGAAGTCAGTCAGGGCACAAATGTCGGGGGTCATTCAGTACACGTTTGCTGTTGCCATGACTCCCACCGCAGTCCTGTCACGTGTGCCATCCCATTGGCCCAGACTGGACCAGCATGAGCGTTTTCATCTCGTACAATTTAAAAGCCACTGCTACATACGGAGTATGGAAAACTCAAGGGAACGTCCAAGCAAGCATCATTCTTGTGGGGGGGAGGGGGGGGGGGGCGTCTGCTCTCTCAGTGTAAATATTTGGAGGGGCCCTCCAGTGGAAAATCACTTGAGCTGCCGTTCAGCAAGCGCTCTGCCAGCCTGACGTGTGCCCTGAGCACGACAGCCACCCACCCTCTTGCCGCCATGGAAACGAGGCCTGAAATGTGCAGCTTGGTCACGTGACTTTTCATGAATAGATTGTTGTGATTAAGGAACATCATCACATGGATGGATTGAAATCCACAGAGAATCACGGCGCCGGTGCCATGGCAGCAGCACACCAGTATGACCAGTAGGGGGGCCGAATACATCACTGCCCAGAAGCAGCCAAAAAAAAGGTGCAGGCATGGGTGAGGCCCGGCCCAGTGCTGGAGCTCAAGCTCTATCCCACAGCGGCAACATCTGCACATCACTGCCGCTGCAGCACCTCCCTCTACAGTCAGGTTGCTAAACCAGAACCCTGCACCGACATTCCACTTTTGCACTGTATCTTTATTTATTTTCTATACTGTGGTCCCACATATTGCTTTCTTATTTGTTTACTCATTCTTATATTGCACTGTTTCATCTCAACATTCTTGTGTTGTCTCGCACCGCCGTCTGTCCTGTGCCCTGTACTCGTATTGCGCTACTGTTTATCCTGTACTGTCTTGTATTTCAATACTATTTCACCTATTCCTATAATCCTACCCTGCAATTGTAACATAAGAATTCGAGTGTGTTCCGAGGAACACCTGATATTAAAGCTTGAACCATCTCTCCTTTTCCCCTGCCCAAGGGCTTTTAACCGCGTTTGCCCATCAGGTCCTCAGCAGTGCGTCCTCTGGCTGCAAAATCCCCTCTGATGCTACATATACTGTAGCGCTCTGTCCTGTGGGGCCACAATGTCACATTAACAGTCCATGGATGTTTCTGCTACCCCCCTTCCCTGATTATCTCCCCCCTCCAGCTACACAAAGTACCACCAGCTATTTAAAGATGTCATGTTTTACTCTGGGAAAACCCACTGTGAACGTCAGGAGAACATGTTGTGGTTTAATCTCTCCCTCCATAAACGTTTTCAGGTCGAGAGCTAGCACCACAAAACGTGCTTCATTCCATCCGTAGACAGTTTCCATCTTCCCAGATGTTTCTCACGAGCCGAGCCCTCAGCCAGCACCAGAACGCCTGCAGTCTGTCTCTGCCATAACCTTCTGGTTTGGGCTTATTTCATCCAGCAGAGGGCAACCAAGAGCCAGCGGATTGGGTCCACGGACACAGCTTCACAACCCAGCCGCACATGAAGGACACAATCTTCCTGTGAAATCTCATATCTGATCTGCAGACTTTA